AACTGTGCTACCGCTCGTCATAAAAGCCAAAATGATTGTAAGATTGGAGTCAGAATTTAATCTACTACTAGTTAATAAAGATGCTATGTCTTTTATGTTACAACATGTCGGTTGATTTACTTTAACCGGGCAGTTGGGAAACAAATACCCGACAGATAATAATAATAACGGTAACACACCCATCATCAAAAGTCAGTAGCATAATCACTAATCATGTATAATGGTATCCCGACTACCATTGACTGACAGCGCAACATTTATTGATCTGTTGCATTGTACAATCGGCAGCATAAGTTTTCATTTTTATTTTTGCATTTTGAAATGTATAATAAAGTCGTGATTGTTGCAAGGAACATTTTTTACCTAATAATTTTTTAATACTATTAATTTGTGATACATAATATATTATTTTTTCTGCCATAATAACTAACTTTTTTCTCTATCCCTAAACAACCTATCATGTACCCCCAGGGGTACGCATACCACGGGTTGGGAATCGCTGTCCTAGAACAGGGCCAATTAAGCACCTATTTCCTCTCTCGACAAATCATGTTACGGACTCTCTGAGATGTTCAACTTCAACTACCGGAAGGATACGCAATGATTGATTCCATTAAACTGGATATCTTGTTCAAATATTACCAATGGATTACTACCATTGCAGTGGCTTTACGTGGAAAATTGAGAATCTTTGCCAAGATTCCACTAATCACTCCTGGTGGATATTTTGATATGTATGAAATTGTAAAATTTCCAACATACATCCCCACCTTAAATACTTTTATCCAATTCCAAACACAATATCCTATAATTGCTCTATCTATGGATCGACAATCCTACATATTACAACATCACGAACTGACCACTTGTAAAACGGCTCACTTCTCTATTTGTTCATTAGATGTTTCCATACAACGAGCCCCTCAACAGAGTTGTGAATATGCGCTATTTAGCGGAAATGAAAACAAATTCAAGGACCTCTGTACTCGACAAATCATCACAAAATATACTGCAATCTTTAAGAGAGTAGGTCAACAAGGGACATGGATTTATTCCACTCCCAAACCTCTTACATTAACTATTAGATGTCCAGCTCGACATCAGAAATCTCCTTCCATATCCACGACTCATAAATTAAATAAGACCGGCAAGATTAATCTCCCAAATGCATGTACAGGCTATCTGCCTGGCCTCGTCTTCACCTCTCACTCCCAAATGCAATCAACCCTACAGGTTGAGATTGCACAACATTTAGTAGTCCCACAAATCGAACAACTCGTCAATCAAACAGAGGTATAATTACTTCGAACCCGTCTCATGGAACCACAAATACAAGAAATGTTGAAAGGGACCTCAGATTACGATATGAAATTGGCAGACCGATCCTTATCAAATGTCCACTATGACCTCGATCACCTGCTACAAATGACAACCGAATTACCTCCAATATCCTACACTCCTTCTCTAACAACGATACTTACTAGTTGTTTTGGTGCTATCATATGTGTATCTTGCTTATTAGTGTCTTTTGTTATTATTTACGACACAATAAAACTCGAGCAACGACTCAACAACAACCACGAGAGAACAACCCCGAAGAAATCTCCCTCCACAAGATTGAAGGTCAACCTCAGACAAGTACCGAACCACTCCCTTCCCAAGAAGTGAAGCCCCGAGGCGTCCCAACCTAACCAACCCCAAATCCTATTGTTCTATCATATTAAGGGGTTCCTCAACAACAATCATATAACAACATATATATTTTAATCCTTTTTATATTTCTTAGTTATAATTTTTTTTCTTACGAGAAAATTAGCTTTTCGTATATTCGTAGAGTATCATAAAATATATTTGAATGCTAGAATATTATCTTAAAATCTTTTTGTTTATAAGATTTCAAAAGATTTTTTTTTTCAATAATTAGAGATAGATTACCGAGAGAGAGTACACGAACGCATGATGTATCCATCTAAATACCTCTAGTCCAAATTTGAGGACAAATTTTAACAACTAAATCATTACTAACCTTTATTTTTTAAAAAAAAACAAGAACAGTGCCACTTCGTCACCCTATAGAAGACATCGGATCCACGTGACGCTACAGCCGATCAACCAATTTTCCTGTGACCTCAACGTGTAGAAAGTGAACCTTACTATTATCGTCAGCAAATTTTCATTTTACCTACGGTTTTCCAGCCTCCTACATAATTAATATCCATAAGTTCTCACAGCGAACATCATCCTACGAACCATCCAACTCACCAGAACAAAGGAATTCCCAAAGACTCCTAATGGACGCTCACCTCTCTCGAACTTTGAACCGTTACCATCAAGTCAACCATGCCTCTCTACATATTATCAGCATGTGTACTTCATAACATCTGTTTGATGGCAGGGGATGATTTTGACGAATTTGACACAGTTAATTGTGATGATGAAACTCTTAAATCTGAATCATCTAATATACAATATAACAGTGCTGCTCAAAGAAAAAGACAACATATTTCTGATAGTTTCTAAGCTATCAGAAATCATGTTTGATAATTACAGTATTTCTGTACAATGTAATATCTGTTTAGAAAATTATTCTTTGTCATGTCATTTCATAGAAAAATAAAAGTTTTCACGTTGAGTTCACAAATGATGATTTAAATATTTTAGTGATTTATATACAATTAATTTAATCACTGTAAAGCAACTTAAAACACAAACTATAAATCAATATTTTATTTATAAAATATAACTGTTTTACAATTTATCGATTAACTGTTGTAATTTTTCTAATAATAATTTTTTTATTTGCATATTTTCTTCGTGGCGTTTTTCGACAGTAAGTCTGTAATTCTTAAACCATTCGGGTTCTTGTTCTTTTCTGCACTTTTTGTTTGCAGATGCTTTATGTGATGAAGTTTCCTGAGTTGTATTATTTCCATTTTCTGTTATGGCAACAGAATTATTGAATCCGTAAGAACTAGCAAACGAAACAGGCTGTACCGCTGGATCCTTTTCAAAAATTTCATCCAATTCAGCCATATAACGGCACTTCCTCCTGCTCGACCCACTTTTATTATTATTATCTTTTATTATTTTATAATTATTTTTTAAAGATTTAAATTTATTTTTGCACTGAAGTGCTGTTGCGGAATAGCCATAGCTTTTAAAGCTATTGGCTATTTTTTCCCACACTTGTTTATTTTTTAAATAAGGAGAAGAAAACATGCTCTCATTTATTTTATATTGATTGAGAAGCAAGTGTGTTGTTTCATCATTCCAATTGAATGAGACAGACTGACTTCCAGGTGCTTTATCTGTTCTTTGTCTTATGTTTGGATCAACTGAAAACATAAATAATTTAATTATATTTACTGCTTATGTTTAGAAAGTATATAGATGTGTTTAATCACATTTTAGATGAGACAGATCTAAATTTGATCAAGCTAAACATTAAGATTACTATAGTTTTTAAATTAAAAATATCTATTTTAAAAGCAAAACGCTTAGATTTGTACAACAAAAGAACACTTAGCTTGTTCAAATTAATCTTCATATAACTAATAAAATATTCTAATTAAAACTGATATTAATATGAATTGATTTATTATTAAAGCTAGGACATCTAGGTCCTAAAAGACATATAAATAATTAAAGATATAACTTATTTTTTATGCTTAGATGCCCTAGCCTTGTCTGTTATCACCTACTGTTCTGTAGCATATGTTTCTTTTTTAAATATTGAATTTATTCAACTACTATTCATTTATTATTTAACATATTAACTTCGTAGCACAATTATTTACTTTTTGTTGGGATTTATAATCCAACTCAGTGTGTGGTAAGCCCCAACAAAAAGTGAATAATTGTGCTACTTTACTTATTTCTAAGAGGTCAAAAAGCTTATTAATTGTTTTATATTAACTTCAATAATTAAGGAAAAACTGTACAAAATGTATCAATTGTATCAACTGTTTAGAAATATTACTTGAGCATCAGATATAATCATTAATATTCTTAATTCTTGACATAATAATTATTTATAATGGTATGTTCCTTTATTATATACTGTACTTATATCTTATGCAGATGTGTAGTTTTTGTAAAAAAGTAATTAGGATAAAATACAGTATAAGATTTTATGAAATTTCGTATGTTAATTTTTATTTAAGGTAAAAAAAATAAGAAAAGAGCTCTGCTTACCATTCTCATTTCCACATTTCTGTACATGGGTCGTTATTTGTGACCTGTTTCCTTCAATCCACAATTAGCGCACATATGAAGTATATCAGAAAAATCGATGCTGTTGGACGCCATTTTCTTAACGAAGTAAACCAACTCTTTCCTTCGTGAACTTCGTTAGAGTTTCGTTCGAAACGTCATCACCGCAGAGCATGCGCACTGAGCGAGACTACTACTTTTCGAACGATTCGTTACTAACGCGTTTAACTCGTTCGACTTAACGAACGTACCCTATGTGTTCAGTCCTAAGGTCATAGTTCACTTCTTAGAATGACTGTGGGTGGTACTCTCCCCCATCTAACTTTGGTGGGGTGAGGTGCCTGTTTTGCCTGTTTGTAGAAGAGGATTGCCATTTTGTATTTTATTTTGACTC